GTTTTTTTAGGTTGTGGGTCCAAAAAACTTCAAAAAAAAACCCAACCAAAAAAAGCAAAAAAAAAAAAAAAAAAAAGACAAAGGTTGGTTTAGAGAGATTTTTTTTTTACACAATAATAAATTAAACCATTATTTCAAAATGTCACTTTGTGTTTATTTCAGCGTTATTCCATTCCACTATTAAAATATGTTTCATTTGTAACATATAAGTGTGATTTAAAAAAAAAGGAAAAACAGCATTTCTCTCCTCACTACGCACATTTAGTTATAGTATTACTGTGCGCTCTGAAACATAATCCTGCACCAGCCTCTTGCAATAATCTGGGTGGTGTTGCCATAGCAACATAGATGGGGGAGACTTCTCAGGGTCACTGTTCCTCATAGGAGAGTGATTTCTCACCATCAGAGAAGCACAGATTGATAGGAAGAGGACGGATTAGTTGGAGATGAGCAAATGTGGCCACAAATGTTATGTCTGGAAAAAGTGGAATTAATTTCAATCGATGCGCGCTAATATAAGTTCTCCTCCTGCTCTCTGCCACCAGATATCGATGCCCGACCGTGGGACTTCCAGGCGGAGGAGTGCGCCCTGCGGGAGAGCATCGAGAAGTTCAACAGCCGGCGCTACGACAAGAACAAAAACGGCGACTTCGCGCCCGTGGACAACTGCCTGCAGAGCGTGCTGGGCCAGCGCGTGGAGCTCCCGGAGGACTTCCACTACAGCTACGAGATGTGGCTGGAGCGAGAGGTGTTCTCTCAGCCCATCCAGTGGGAGGGGCTGCTGCAGAACCCGTGACGGCCCAGGCCGGGAGGCGGAGGCGGTGGGGAGACGTGGCACAGCAGAGGTCGATTAAAAAGTGTGGTTTTTATTTCTGAAGTTAGCTAAGTTTTGCTGAAAGATGACAAGACGAGAAGCAACGGTGTTTGGTCAAATCTCAGGAGGAAGGAGGAACGCAGGTAAGATCAGGTCGGTTTGATGCCGCACATATACATTTTCTACGATAACATGTGCCTAAGACTACTGTGAACACACGTAAGCACATAAGAATGAAAGTAGCAGCTCAAAAACCTTTCAGATTGTTGTAGCACGACACTGTTTCGGCCAGTTCTACTGCCCTCCCCCCCAAAAAACGCCAGTCCCTCTTCTTTAGTAAGGCGGTGCTCTTCTGATTCCTTCGTTATGTTTTATTTATTTGTAACACTGTATGGGAAGCATTTTATGATGATTTTCTTTTTTAAATATAAGTTAAAAACCAACTTTTTTTATTCTGAAACAAATGAGTTTAAATTATGAGGTTTTAGATTGTAAACTGAAACTCAAACATTGTTTTTTGCATTTTCAAAAAAAAAAAAAAAAAAAAGTTACAAGAAGAATGATAAATAAAAATAAAAAAAAATACGGTCCTGGGAGTTACAGGAAAATAAGGAAGCAAAACCAGCTGAAAGTGTATTAGTTTATTTATGGGTGTTGTTTATGAAAGGAAAGCAAATATAGTTAAAGGAATGTCAAACAATAATCCTTTAAAAAATATCTATATAAGCTATATGCTGAATGCTTAATATTAAACTACAGAACTAATGGGGAGAATTTCTTTAATTTGGAGTTTGGAGTTAAACTTGCAGACACAGATATCGTCCATCTGCTATACATATCAAAACCTGTCAGCACTAGAGTTCTGGATGGTTCCACAGGGAAGTTCAGGGAGATGAAATTCAGACCTTTCCTGTACAAAAAAGTACATTTAACACATCGTGCTTGGGCACAAAACTATGTAGTAATAAAGCTAGCTATTTACTGGCATTATGTGCAGTAGAGTTAGCGATGACTAAACTGTGGCTTCTCTATGTTGTTGAGGGATATTTTTTATTTTTGCTGTGCCATAAAGTAGTTACAAATGAGAGTCTGCAACTTCAACACAGTTTTCAACAATCACTACAGTCTCCTATCTCCTTGTGGAGTTGCTTCCCTGAGCCTTTCTGCTGAACCATCTGGGCTTCTCAAATCTCAGCAATTAGCACTTGTATAGAACAGCTGGAAATCTGTAGCGACTGTCACCAATGTTTATCTTTCCAACTACAGCACAATATGTAACTGCTTATCACACCGATGGTAGGATGTGATTGCTACAATAATTGGTGCTGGCTTTTTTTGTTTGCTATTCTTCCTTCACTTTGGAGTACCCAAGCAGGGCACCAAACGTGTTGTTACACACACGGACAAGCACAGTGGGATGTTTTGATGTCATTTTTTTGGTTTGTAGTGTACTCACTCTGTGGGACGAGTTCCTCCGTGTCTTTGTATACAGTAAGGATGCTCATCTTGATGCTCGGCTGCTTGCCTTTTGTGTACAAATTGTGCATGACCAACATTTTCTCTGCACCTGTATTCAGACAGTAACTTCAGGATGTCCGAAGCGGAGTTGGGTTAAAAGGTAATAAGCTGTCAATATCTTACATGCAGTGGAAAATACCTTTGGTGTCTACATTAATATAACTCTAAATAAGTTGGTTTGATTTATCCTGAATGACGACGTCAAGGAAGTTAACGACTGCAGGTAAGATGTCAACAGCTAACAACCTTTAAAAGAATCTTTCTTCAGAAATTATGAAAAAAAAAACTGTATTTCTAGCTCTCTTATCGTTATTCTGTTTTCCTGTTAAAGTCACAATTTTCTTCACAAAGAAAATAGGTTAAAAATAGTTTATATATATATATATATATATATATATATATATATATATATATATATTCTCAGGTTTATGGAGATAACATATAGCAAAAGTTTTAAAAATCTTCCTCACCGTTGTCTAGCTCACTACATGGAGAAAAGTACACACCTTTCTCAGTTCAGTACAATAAACTTTAACTCCAGAAGGTGTACACAGTTGTGACGTTGTATTTGTCAGCTGCATTTAATTTCTTTTTCTTTTTTTTTGTATCTTGTGCCAAATTTGAGTGCCATCTCCTATTTGTTAATTATGTTGACACTTTTGCATTCAAATCACTACTGGAGGTTTGCAATACAGTTGTTTTTATTTTCTACCTTTCAACTGTACAATCAAAATAGTAATAGCTGTGTCTTGTACCTTGTACAGTGTTTTACATGTAGGATTCTGTGGAAGTCAGTACAGTATCTATATGTGTGTGTTTTTATTACTCTTCCATATCTGTATATTCTGGATGGAGTTACTTCTCTTTACTGAATTTCTTCAGGGGTATGTGCAATTACAGATCCACAGAGGCATTATACAACAGAGTGACAAATTACAATATCAGAGTTACCTATTAAACCATGTCTAAAAACTTGATTTGCTTGTGATCTGATTTTTAAGGATGCTTTGTGCGTTAAGCCAAGTGTATTTGTGCATGCTGGAGGTCAGGTGAAGCGCATCCAGGCGGGATTCGGAAGTAAATAAGAGAACAGAGAACTGACTTCATCCACTTTCCATTAAAATTCCTGGAGTAAGAGTCGGAAGTGAAGTAGCCGATAATGTAATGTGTTAAATGAAGCTGACGCAGGCAGGCACTTGCTGCCTCGAAGCTCAGAAAGTGACTCTAAGCTACAGACATGACGCGCTAATTTCAGATATCTCCCCGCTGAACTGCAGATATTCTGCTCATGGATACTTGCTCTTCGGCTTAATCAAATTAATTAACTGGCATTTCATTATATAATTTTAGTACACAACAAATTGAAAAATAATTTCTGTGGGACTTCAGACAGATCAGAGTGAAAAATTAAGTAGATAAAACAAAAATTACCCAGAATAACAAAAAAAAAAAAAACAACGTAATGTTTTAATGTCTTGAGGCAGGAAACCATGCAGGCGATTAGTAGTTCTGCTTTCTTTTTGTGGTACTGTTTGCCTCATGACGGCAGTTTAAAACGTTCATGCGGTGCGAGTCGGGAGCAGGGCTGGATTTAGGAAAATGTGGCTCCCCGGGCCAGAGCCAGTTTGGCGACCTCACCACACAAGCTTCTTTTACACATGACAGTGAGAATATATTCATAGTGAGGTGCGAGCTGACTTCCAAGGGTTTTAAATTCTGTCCCCATGAGTGTCTCCAAATCATTTGTGTTTTAAAAACAAAATTCATGATAAACTCTGCATCATTTCTACAAACATCTTCATCCTTGCAAGGAAATAATCCAAAATGTTAATCAATCTGGAACAATGTAGCTCCAAAGTCAACATGGTGCAAAAATAAATTTAAAATTGAAATTGTATATCTTGGCTTCTTACTCTGCTCATTGGAAATTATGACTCATTTACACTTTAAATCCTTCACTAAGTCATTCCTAAACCCATGAAGCAAATAAACGCCCCTTGCCATATCTGTCATTTCACAAAAACCATGGAAAACGTAAAAAGGTGCCTTAACCCTGCCTTTGACTGTTCTCTGGAAGAGGCTTACGTGTCCAAATTCTGCTTCAAGAGCTGGGAGGCTTTAGTGGGAAGGAGTGGTCAGCAGGTCCTGATCAGCCAATCGGAGACGGACTGTTTGTACTATACTGTGTAGAGGAGAACAAGAATTTAAATAAAAGATATTTTCGATTAAACTATACCCGTTGACTCTGCTTCCTCAAGATTTCCAACGTCCAAGTCTTTTACTGAATAAATAAAGATGTTTACATTTGAACGTTTAATCAACTTTCAGTGTTATTGTTTTTCTAATGCAGTTTAGTTTTGGTACAACGATTTTTCAGACTTTTTTTTTTTTTTGTCTAAAGGTTGTGCAGCAGTTTGAGACCAGGCGCTGCTTCACCGTGGAAGTCTCCAGTCCACCTCAGGCCTTGTGTGTCAGTGAAGGTACCCTCTCCCTCCAACCTATAAAACACCAGTTCAGATATTCAGAACTGTACTTTGTGGCATTTGAAATACCTGAGGGTACTCTGGTGACTACCTGTCATTATAAAATTGGCCCTTATACATAGAGCCGTCCGGAAATGTGTACGTCCCAGAGCCGTTGTACGCGTTGTCTTTGAACTCTCCTTCATACACGGCCCCAGAGGGAAACTGCAGGGTCCCTTTGCCCAGCATCTGGAGAGAGGAAAGACATACATCTTAAACAAACAGACGTTAACAAGAAGACAGAGAGATGGATAACGCATACTTTGTCCTCTTGCCACTCTCCTGTGTATATGATGCCGCTGGCTGAAGTGTGTTTTCCTGTGCCACTTCTCACCAGCTCTCCAGATTCAGACTTGCGACACTCGCCCTCTGTGAGATAAACACACAGCTTATCTAACTCTGGCACTACTCCTGATTACTTTAGTCTTTATTTACTTTATTTTACTCTTACGTTTTTGTCATCATTTGAATTATTTTTTATAACTACTCAGGTTTTGTGTGATTAAAACATTTAGTCAAACAAATGTTTCCAACTCAACCTGTGTGAGACCCACTTGGTTTGACTAAATGTGCTCCACATTGGTGAAATCAGTTGGGCAACCTTTGTAGATTTTTGTTGTATCTTAAGTAAAACTTCATTAAACCTGTACAGGAAATTACATAGCCTATGGAAAAAGGTCCAAACATTCAAGTGTTGGTTGGGTTTCCGTCCCTACTCACCGTACTTATCCCCATTTGGAAAAATGAGGGAAACCTTGATTGCAGTGTCTGCAGATAAACACATCCAAATGCATTTAACACTTAAATAAAATTGGTCTAAATGTTGATATTTACATATTCAAACTATGTCCCTTTTTGTTGTCTGACAGAAGATAGAATCACTTGTTGTTGTTTTTTTCTCTCTGTGTGATAGTATTTGCACCTCACCAGTCATGCTATGACAGCTTCCCTCAGTTGGCAGATGGCTGTCGGAGTACACAACAGACGCTGTTTCACTCTGAATGGGGGAAAAAAAGACGTGTAAAGTCGGAAAATTTAACCCAGAGTCGTGGAGAATGAAGAATCAGTCTTACCTATGCCCAAATTGGTGTAATTAGCCTACAATTTTCACAAGTTGGCATTAAGAATGAGCTACGGCAGCAGGTAGGTGTTGCCATGGTAACAGTGGGGTCTCTAACGCGGCCCAGCAACCACTGTTTGCGGAAAAGGACGGGGTTGTACATCGAAGGGGCGTGGCCTATTAAAAAAAAAAACGGGCTGAGGCGAACACCGCCGTCCTCTCGAGAGAGGAAAGAACTACAACTACATTTAAAAACCCTACAAAAAAAGTTTTAATAAATTTACCGTAATGTATAAAAATAGTTCAATGAATCTGGTTTCCTTGGGCATGATTAAATTTTAATGGCTTTATTCAAAATCTATTTTGACATTGTTAGGAATGGCCAAACATGAATAAAATGAAGTTTCAGTTCAAGGTTGTCTTACTCAAATTTATATTATAAAAATTATTTAAAAAAAATAGTAAGTTACCATTACCTAGGAACGTTAAACCCAATTATGACACACAGCTGATGGTATTATTGCATTTTTACATTGTGGATACAAGAATGAGAAATGTTTTCAATTTATATTATTTGTAGTTTGCCTGTTGTGTGACTATTTATATATTTAGTGATAAAAATTAACAGAAAAGGCAGCCAGACAACATTTTTCTCTGTAGTGAGAAATACAACTAAAACCTTTACCTCTGTATTACTGTACATGCAGCTTTTTATTTGCAGTCACTGGTATGGAAAGCTTTATTATTAGCTGATGATGATATAACTCTGTATCCATGCTACATTAAAAAAAAGAAAATTTAGAAACATTTCTAATGCTAGCTGACTGAAAGAAAGTTTTTATTAGTATTTCTCTTATGTTTGCTTGCTTTCTTTCTACCAGCAGCAGAAGACTGGAGAATCAAGGACCAATCACAACAGTTAGGGGGCGGGACTTGATTTTAAATCCCGCCCACTGCTTCCTCTGACGTAGTTGAAAAATGTATATTTTTTTAAGGTATTGTTTCATGAAAATTGATATTACTGCTATACTTGTGTAATTCCAAATGTTATAAATATCTTAAGAGTGGTTTAAAAACTACAGTTATGCAACACAAGAACCGGAAAAGAAAGTCTGAACTCCGAACTTCGGCCAATGAAAGAGAATGTACTGTGCCGGGGGGCGGAGGGTGTTGGAGCTGCTGTTTCAGGTATGTTCACATTTTAAAAGTTCTTTTCTGAAAGGTATGCATCGTCGGCTTTATCGGTTATGATACGTTTCAGACGTTTAGGTTAATCCTAAACTGTGAAACATGAGAGTCTGGGTTGTGAGGAAATCTTTAACACATAGCCTAGCATGCTACAGTGGAAGTTAAGAGCGTGCTAGCTGTTAGCTTGTTAGCTAACAATATGGTTGGGCTCTGGGTACGCTAATTTCGCATTCGTAAACAAACCTTTTCTCACACATATACCGAGACCTTGTACAGTTTATTTCTCATAGTAGGTACGTATTTTGATGAACTATTAACTTCATAGTATAAAGTGTCAATTATATATTTTTTAATTTGTGTACTATTTCCATTCAAACTTTTTTTTTTCTACATAGTTTTTTAGTTGATGCGTATGATGGTCTTTGTTTTTGACATGTTAACTTGTGCTGTACACGAAACATTATGTCTTCTGATCCCACTTAAATAACTCTAGTCGACCTCTTGCTGGCAGATATTTATTGAAGTCATTTAATCACGTTCCCTTACATAAATTAATTTTGAGTACATCGTAGAACATTTCCTTAAACCCTCAAACAAATTCTCACTCAGTAAATATGATTTAATTGGGGTTAGTCATGAAAAAGCTGAACGTATTCTCAAATTGGAATGCTTGTTGTTTTAAATTAATAATGAGGTCAAGTTAATCGACCACCACCATGAACATCTGAGGTTAGTGGTAGTAAACTGGACTCGATGTCTCCTTAAGAACACTCAGTGCTCATGATTGCTTTAACACATTTTAAAATCACATTTACCCCTGAAACATATTATATTCAGTATAGAAAGACATCATATACATTTTTAGTCTTATTCAGCTACATGTAAAAAAAGAGAGAACCTAATAAATAGGAACTGTAAAAGTTTAGACTGCTTTAAAATTAAATGTAAAAAAAAAAAAATCAAATAAAAAACCCACAATTTTAACAGTAAAAGTTTTGATTACAACCACTTAAGATTTTTAAAAAAAAATATTTTTGACATACAAAAAACACGAAACAGTTTGAAGACAAAAGAGCTAAGCCAAAGAGACTATATTAATTAAATTTAGCTGTAGGTTAATATTGGAGTAACTGTATGTCCATCAGGAAAGACAGATTAAGAAATGGTTAATATTTCTAAAATAGCAACCCTAAAGCAGCAGGAATAATAATAAAATGACTAATTATATATAGTTTGTGCAATAATAAGAATAGTAAAGATAAATTTACTATTCTTAATACTTTACTAGCCTTGCATTTAATACCTTTTCCTAATAATGCTGAAGTGTGACCGGAGCAAATTCAATCTTGATGATGTTAGTTTGATTTTTACTTTGCAGCATTTCTGTAGACACTAGAACTCAATTAAATCTTCTACAAAAATAAAAATCACATCTCAAAACAGTTTCCAAACAGCTTTAAATGTATGATTATGGTCCTGTTTTATGCTTATTAATGTGCTATTTATTTAAGGTTTTTATGATTTAGTTTTATGTACTTAATGTTCTGTTTGTAATTTTACTTGTTTCCTGTAAAGTGTCCAAGTGTTTAGAAAAGCACTACACAAATAAAATATATTATTATTATTATTATAAAAGCCGATGTAGAGCTGATAAACTATTAAAATTTGACAAGAATGTTTTTTAGATAAAGTTTGATAGTTGAATTGATTGAAAGAAAAAAGTGTAGATAATGTGTACAACTCAACCTGATTGCACTGCGGAATTAAAACTTGGTGTGTATGAAAAACCTAAATTAAAAAAAAAAGTACAAATGACAAGCGACCCACCATCTGACGTTTCTTAACTCTCTGAAGTATTTCTAACCTTCCCCATGATTGTGCCCTCACAACTCTTTTTGCTAATAATACGCCTGAGCAGCCGCTTTGCCTCTGGGCTGCGCGGCCCTACTGGAGTTGTTACTCCGCGGTTTGATTGCATAATTGCAGCCAACAGCGTTGTGTGTCAGCCACCATCTCGTTGCTTTGCACTTGAATTGAAAATTCCCCCTCAGCTATAAGCCACTCTCCGCTCCGTCCTGCCCGTACAGTAACCGCCTCGCTCTGCGTCTATCTCCCGTCTCTGCTGCTGTTTCCAGGATTCCAGGCTGCCTTTCTGTTTTTTTCTTTTTCTTGCTTTTAAAGCTGAAAACACACACATCCAATCTGCTCTTTTTCTGTCTCCGTTCACAGATGTTTCGCAGCCATGAAGGAACACTGACTGAAGGTTTGCTTACTTTGAAGTTTAAGGGAGTTTATTTGGAGAAATCCTGCGTGTTTTTTTTGTGTGGTTTTTTTTTTTTACACTGATTGTGTGTGTCGGAGCAGAAAGATGAACGCCAGGAGAAGAGGAGGGAAGCCAAACAGAGGAGGAGGAAGGTTTAACAAGCCCAGAGGAGGCGGAGGTGGCGGAGGTGGAAGCCGGAAGGGAGGAGGAGCTGCCGGTCACTGGGATGACGACGATTATGATTTCAGCCTCGATTTTGGACCCTCTCGCTCCAGCAGGTATTCACGGCATCACTTATCACATTATCATCTTTGCTTTCCCTGAACTTCTGTCTCTTCAGACCTGGAAAAGGACGAGGCGGAGGCGGCGGCAGCGGCGGCGGCAGCGGCGGCGGGCGTGGAAGGGGGAGAGATGCGGGACGAGGATGGGGATTTAACGATCGCCGAAGGGACTCGAAGGGTGACAGGAAGCCCCTCCCCAGGTCCCTGGTGAGCACCAGGGTCCCTCTGAAAGCAGGTGACGGCAGCAGGCCCGAGGCGAGCAGCATGCCCTTGCAGAGGATCTTCATGACCAATGAGAACCAAGAACAGCTCAAGGAGTTGCTGCGGGAGCTGCAGACGCAGGATTTTGACGAGCCTTATGAGTGAGTCTACGCTTCTGTTGTTGTTGTTTTATTTGTTATTCGGAACAAACATAGGACTCTGTTTGCATCAGGGAGTCTGGCTCTGATTATTCAGAAGAAGAGGAGGAGGAATATGATCAGCTGGATCCCCGTGAGGAAGGTCAGTTTTGGGTCACTAACGATGAGCCTGTGGAGCGAGATGAGAGCCCTGCTTATTACCCAGAGGAGGAAGAAGAGGAGGAGGAAGAGAAGGAGCGACCCACACCTGAACCCGTCATCTCCTTATTTGCTGTCGGGAAGCTCTGCAGGTGATCACATCAGAAAGTTTGTTTTAAGGTCAAACAGGGTTGAAACCTGAAACCCGAGCTGCTCCTGAAATTAACCAGTTTCTATTAAGACTCTGGGAAAGTTTGGACTTTAAACAAAGTATTTTTACTCAGTATTTGATTTTTCAAACTTTATTTCTGATATTATCATCTGTGTGTTTCTTTGTCCTTCTTTCTTCCTCCTTTTCTTTCATCCCTTTTTCCTTCCTTCTACTAACATCTTTAATTATAAATATAATACCAGATCCAGGCTTAACCAGGTTTTCAGTCTTTCATTGAATAATTAATTGAATTTCCACAACAGAATGACATTAAAGGTCCCAGTAACATGATGTACATCTTTTTGTCAGGTTAGACTTTTTTTTTTAAGATAATTTTCCATGAACATCAACATCCCAAAAATTAAAACAGATCCATTCTTATTTATCCAAAGTTCTGTGTTGTTCATTTTAAACATAATCAAAATAATATGATTTTTTTTTTTTTTTTAAGTTACAACTCATTTCCTTTACTAGATTTTTAACTAAAACTCTAGTAACACTTGCTGCTCTAAACCACTTTTATTTATTTTATTATTTATAATTAATTTTTTCATAACATTTTTCTGTTCCTTTTTAAAGATACGGCTTCGACAGGGAGAGAAGCAAACAGGCTCTGGAGTCCGGCACAGGAGAATTCGGGGCGACTCTAGAGCATCTCCT